TGGAAAAATAGAAAAATCCCAAAATGGAATGTTCAATCATTTGTTTTCATAAAATAAACATAGCAAAAGGGTTTTAGTCTAATGTCCAAGCATAAGGTAAAAGTCTGAAATGTGTTTTGAACTCTGACTTTTAAAGTGGCACAATCATTTATATACTGTATGTAATTTGTCAAATCTTTCTCTGTTTCTAACCTACACTACATGACCAAAGGTATGTAGACACTGAGACATTACATTTTTATGTACTTGTTGAACATCTCTTTCCAAAACTTATGGGCATTAATATGAAATTGTTCCCCCTTTGCTGCTATAACAGCCTCCACTCTTCTGGGAAAGCTTTCCACAAGATTTTGGAAAATGACTGCAGGAATTTGCTTCTATTCAGCCACAAGAGCATTAGTGAGGTCTGACTCAAAGTTGGTGTGCCAATTAACCCCAAAGGTGTTGGATGGGGTTGAAGTCAGGGCTTTGTGCAGGCCAGTCACAGTAAACTTGGCAAACCAATTCTTTATAGACCATGTTTTGTGCATGTGTCATGCTAAAACTGGCCGAGCTGGACAGGATACCTTGAAAAAGTAGTGGTAGCTGACAACTAAATACACTGTCCTACATGTATTCAGTTACATACTTTGTTACAACACAAAAAAGTAAAATAAAAAAACTCTCCTGTTGTACTTTGTAAGATTTGTCTTTCTCACTGCCAGAAGGTAAAGTGTGATTCATCACTCCAGAGAATGTGAGAGCTCAATGACATTGTGCATAGAGATCTTAGGCTTGTGTGCATTTCTTTGGCCATGGAAACTCAAAAAATTAATCTATCGACAAACAGTTATAGTGCTGATGTTGACAGTCCTGTTTTGTGAGCTTGTGTGGACTATTGCTTTGTGGTGGGGCTATTTTGCTCCTAGACATTTCCACTTCACAATAACAGCACATACAGTTGACCAGGGCAGTTCTAGCAGGACAGATCTTTGACAAACTGGTTTGCAGGAAAGGTCTCATCCTATGAGCCCCAGTGAAAGTTCCTGAGCTCTCTAGTACAACCTTTTCTATTGCCAGTGTTTATGAAGATGGCATGGCTTAAATAGCTGAACCCAGTAATCAGTCCGGGTGTCCACATAGTTTTGTAAAATATATGAACTTTGTCCTCATTATTTTGTAATGTATTAGATTTGACATTTTTGCCTGTAAAAGTTCAGCATTGTTGCTAAATAGACAATGATGGCCAGTGACTAACACCAAGAAGGTTTAGATCATCTTTAGGCCCCTGCTAATCCACAGTGAATAAATATTTCTGTTTTGGAAGGAAAGTCTAAAAGGTATTTTGGACAACAGACAGAACACTTGATGACAGCTGGACTTTCAACATGTCAGCAAAACGTAAAAACACATCAGTCAAACTCACTGTGTTGCAAGTTGTACACACTGGACATTCTGTACAAATGTTTTCATGTTGGAAGCAATTAAAAACTAAAATATTACACAATATTTGTATAGTACTGTGCAAAAGAAAGAAATAATTGATTTAATTTCCATGGCCATTTAGAGAAAGCACATAATTAAAAATGACTCAGAAGCCTCAACAAGTAAATACCAAATATTTCAGCATTTAGTTTGTCAACTCTTTGCCTGAATTACAGCTTCTATTCTTTTCAAGAGACTTGCTTTTAGTTTCTCACATCTCCAAAGTTTAGTTTTAGAAGTTGGTTGTAGTTTCTGTATCTCACGATCCAAGTAATCCTAACCACATATCATAATCAGATTTCTGCAGTTATCTGATTATTCAAATGGTCATGTAAACAGCACACTCCGATTTCTTAGATCGGATAAAGGTCTAGAAATCCAATTAAGTAATCCGATAAAGAGAGCTGGATTTTAGCTCAGTAATCAGATTTCTCAGTGCATGTAAACTCTTACTCTGATTTCTTTCGGATTTCTCAGTCTGTGCATGTGCGAATACAGATGCCGGTTCCGGAAATAAGCAAGCAGCTTTGCCGCGAGATGGCAGCAAAACACTGAAACCAACAACATTCTCGACGAAATGAATGATTTAAATCTTCTTCATCTTCTAGGTGATGTATGTTCATATTTTTAGGTAAAGTGGCATGATGTTTTAAAAAAAAGCTGCGGAATGAAGTTTGAGTTTTACATTATGTTTACGTCACGCCTTCTTATGTGAATTTAGTGGCCAGTTGCAAAGCAGAAATCCGATTACTGCCTGACTCATAAACGTGTTGATTGGTTTACTGACAAAATCTGATTTTCTGCAGTTATCAGATCGTTAAGTGCATGTAGACACATTCAATGATGCTGAGGTCTGGACTCTAGGGTCCATTCAATGATGCTGAGGTCTGTCCAGTCCATTGTTCTGAGAAAACCCGCAACTTCTTTTTTCTTTTCTATTTCCTTTTCTCAGTAAGGGCTTCTTGACAGCAATATATCCTTTCAGACCCATAGTGTTGAACGTCTTCTCCCAGTGGAAGGAAGGACAGAAACACCTGTGGATGTTTTAAGATCTGAAGCAGCTTGATTTTTTCCTCTCTCTAAAAGGTGAAAGCTTTAAGTACTGCTTATCTGATGGTGACAGTTTTGGTGGTCTACCAGGTCTTGCATGGTTGTCAGGAGGCCAATTTTTATGTAACTCTTAATCATTTTTTAAACTCTTGTTTTGGAAACTCCTGATGTTTCACTTATTTTTCTTTGACTTTCCCTTTAATTATGCAAGTGGATGATTATATATCAGAAAGATCTCCAGACAAATAAATGACTTACCAGTCATTTTAACTGGAAATTAAATAAATGAAGGGTGGTCTCTTTTGCACAGCACTACTGAAGGGCCATCATTCATACAAAGAGACAGTTGCAGAGACATAGAGCCAAACACAAAGCTCCATTGTGATTGTTATGGGTTATTTGTGTGGTAGGGGGCACTCTGACTGCTTTCAACTTTCATGCCTCAACATATTGTCGTGCTGTTGCTGAAGAGGGTTTTGCAGCTGTACCACATGCACGCAAAAACACACACACACACTCGCACACAGGGTCTGTTTGGCTCCCCAGGCCCACTCCAGCTTTAGCACAGTAACTGGACTCTCTCGGTATTCTCAGTTGGACTGCTGTGCATGGGTTTGTGCATACAGGCATGCTCTCTCTCTCTTTCTCTGTCCATTCTGCTCCACTCATGGGCTTAACCAGCATTTATAGAGTCCCAGCCTATGCATCATATTTCTTGTTTAGTTGTGGTTGGCCTTTGAATGGTGGTTCTATTGAGTAATTGAGGTTTTGAGTCTTCTTTTCTATACAAGTACAACGTTCTGCAGTCTGTAAAAGGATTACAGAGGTTTTAGCTCATGTTGGTCTTTTGTAACATGCCTGGAAAAAGGGAAAAGAATGCTCAGTCGCTTTAACTTAACAGGGAAAGCAGCATTTATTTGCATGCAGTGCAGCAGTTCAGAAACTGCAGAATAAACATTAGGAGAACATCACCTTATTATGCACAGTATGATAGCTCAACACCAGGAGTGCAAATGTGGTCTACACACCTGGGTGAGCAACGTCAGGAGGCTAAATCCTACATATAGCAATACAAACATAAAACTGTATAAATAAAGTATGCGTACATTGCACTTGTCATATGTCATGCTTTAAATGCCAATATTACAGCATGAAAAAAGAACATTATTAATAGCATACATATTTTACATAGAGATTCAGATTTGTTGCTTATTACAATGGCTTTTTCTCCCTTTCCACTATGTCACTAAAATTCTTCATCTGATCTGCATGTTGTAAATATTTTTGCACAAAAAATAAATAATGATAAATATGATGAAGAAAAAACATATTAATTTGACAAGAATTTCCTGTAGCCTGAGATTTTTGCCATTGCTGGTAGACCCATATGACCGCATGCTTTGATACACCTGCAAATTCAGCTACTTCCTTGACACTATGGCCTTTGGAACGCACAAATACAATCAGTCCTTTTTGCCAATCATTAATATCTGCTTTGCAAGCTATTTTCTACACTTTGAATAAGATATTCACTGCACTGTACCACCTCCTCTCAATCTATGAATCCCATTGCACAACCCCCAGGTATTTATAGCCCGATCATCCTCGTGCAATGCCATCTGCAGGAGCCTGAAGTTACTACCACCTTAACCATGCAAGGTGACTAATTTTTTTGTCTGTGGAGCTTATTTGCCATGAGTTTAATTTTTAAGCAAAAAACACTTCCCACATCCCATGTTTTCATGCCCCTACCGAAACAGAGTTTTAGTCCATAGGTGGAGCCTTATTACAGCCATACCCCTGCATTTTAGAGCAGGAAGTGAGACTGCATCCCTGTCCCTCATGGCCACATGGAGAGCAGTTAGATCCCATTGTTGTGTAATGTGTCCCAAAGTCTAACAATCAGTATGCAACCTTATGAAACGTCACGAAGGAAATTTTCTGCAATTAAGAAACTTTTTTTTTGTTTTCACATAAAAATATGCTTTTATGTGTGTAGAACTGTTCAAAGCTGGGTTTACTAGCCATGTCCTGGTTAGCGTTCTCGAGTTACGCTTAAAATTAGCTAAAATTGTCACTACTAAAACAGTCATAGCAGTGACAAAATGGAATGTTTAATCATTTTAGTAAAATAAAACTTAAGGAATGGGTTAATTCAAAACAAATGTACTTTAGTCCAAGTCAGTTAAAAGTCTGAAATGTGTTTTTAATAACCCCTGAAATGATCCCACATCTTTTCAAAAAGTGCAGTTGGGTTGTCCCTCCTAAATTTAAACCAGTGCTTTACATAGAAGGTTTTTATCATATCCAGAATCCTTACATTAAAGGTTTAGCTGGGCTGAAATCCAAGGCTTCCTCTTGGCATCTTAGTTTAGCTGTTCCAACACACATTTCTACCAAATGTTGCTCAGCGGCTAGGCTTTAACTATAGGCAGGTTGGGGAAAAAAAAAAAAACAGACTAGAGACTGCAGGGTATGGAATGGAAGTAAGGAAGGACTCTGGGGCCTTGGCCATGAAAGAGTGAGGAATGCTTCTGTGGCTGGGCAGCTCCACAGGTTGCCTGCACAAGCAGCCTGCAGTAACCTGCAAAAGCTGCCGCAAGAACAGGCAAGAAAAACCTACTGTATCTCTGCAGACTCAAAAATCATCAGCCAGCTGTGGAAACAGAGGTATGCGCATTCATGGAACATGGGAATTAAATTACGATCTGTTTGTTTGGCTTGGGGAGGTTCTGAACAACAGGGGTGTGAAGGGGTGAAAAAAACAATAGAAAAGTAAGAGGAAAAATGAAGATCAGCTTTGTAGTTGTTTAGTTTTGAATGAAGAATCAAGCTGTGACGTGTGTAATAGCAAGAACAGGGAAAAACTATCAATGTAAGAAAGTAAAATGACACAAAATTAGTGTTCTTTTTTATACACTGGATGGAAAATGGTTTCTTTGCAAAAGCTCAGAAGCTACAGAGAGAACATGCCACTACCATTGCTGTTGTCTAGCAAATGGCATTTGTGGAAGCTACAATTTATCTACGCTTCCCACGATTTATATGTTTTTAAAGGTGCATCCTGTGCACTCTGTCATAATAAATTGCTGCATCAGGGGAAAAATGTGTCATTACAGCCTGTTTTTGTTTAACTTAGACTGGCCGAGTAATGGAGATCAGGCCGCTATTGCTTATACTGTCTGTGTGTGGGCCGACGTGGGTCACAACTTTAGACATGGATTATGGTGGCGTGCCTCTGTGGATCAACCGCTTTCTTGGGGAGCCCAGCGCGTTGACCTTAAGGGATCGGATGGAGCCAGGTTGGTTCCGAGCAGTCAACAGACAGAGCTGCCCCCTGGAATGTGACTGTCCAATTCAGTGGCCCACAGCTTTGTATTGTGAGTACAGAGGCCTGCACCATCTTCCAGAAGGCCTTCCTTCCAGAACACAGTACCTCTTTCTGCAAGGTAATGCGCTCACTGGCTTCGACTCCAGAGCCTTCGCCAATGCCTCTAATTTACGATGGCTGTTCCTGGACCGCAACCAGGTTCTCAGTGAGAGACTTGACCAAATGTTGCTGTCCAATCTCACCCGATTAGTGAACCTCTTCATGAACCATAACAACCTGACAGAGGTGCCAGCAGGGTTGCCCAGTGGACTCAAGCAGCTTCGACTTGCATACAATCACATTGAGAGGATTCCCCCAGGAGCTTTCCAGAATCTACAGAATCTAACACTCCTTCTGCTCCAAGGCAATCGTCTGAAAGCTATTGGAGAGGCTGACTTCAAAGGTATGTCCATAAAATTGACAAAATTTCATCCCACTGATACTTCTGCATTAGAGATTTGTTTTTTATTCTGTGATTACATGTTGGCAGTAAATGGACCATGGCAAACAACATATTCTCTTGTTTTTTTAAGCTGTGTTCACATGTTGGCATTCAAAATATTGCTGTCTTCTGCCTCACAGCAGTATGTAACCAATGGCGGCAGTATCAGAGAAGCGATTTAATAATGTTGATTCTTCATTTAAGGCAGGGGTCTCCAATCTTACCTGCAGAGGGCCGGTGTGCCTGCAGGTTTTCACTCCAACAAAGCAGGAGATCACCTGATGAAATGCTTGAAGACTAAGACCAACTGATTAAACAAGTAGAATCAGGTGTGCTTCGGCTTGTTTGGAGTGAAAACCTGCAGCCACACTGGCCCTTTGCGGATAAGATTGGACACACCTGATTAAAAAAAAAAAGGCAGGTGGATATGGTTGATGGCAAAAGTTTGGAATATTGAATTCTTGACGGATGCTCTGTTTGACTATGTGGTCTGCGTAACGTTGCTGGCAATGGCAGAATTTTCCATCCGGGTCCACTGGATGCAATGGAATATCCAGGCCTCCATCTACCACCAACATGTAAACCCAGCATAATATAGAAGGAACAAAGAATTTTGCCACCAGCAGCCGCATTGTTCCATTAACTGCAGGGTTAAGCAAATGTTCTTTCAAAAGTTTTCCCAACTTCTACGGTTGACCATGGCGGTGGAATAAACTGGACATCGATTTTTACAGAAACATAGCCATGGAAAGCTTCTTCCAGACCTACCTGTACATTTACATCAACCCCTGGACTTCAACAAAGACACACCATTAGAAACATTAGCATGTGTTTAAACACTTTTAGGATGAAATAGTGGTTAACACCATTGCCCCGCATACGGGCAGAAACGCTGGCAATGGCAACGTTTATATGGCCTAAAGCCACCGTCAGTTGTGTGCCGTTGCTAATTCTGCTATGAGGAACAACCGCTTTTCAATGCCAAAATGTAAACACAGCACTTCTCTTCATGATCAAGGTCAAATAAATAATCTCTCTAACACTTACACCATCCTTTAAAAATCCATTTGCATCTCTAACATTTCCTCCAACAGTGAATTTATGTGGAAAGATTGAATTAGTGACCATGGCTGTCACACTCACAGATGTAAACACAGGAATTACGGTGTTGTGTCTGTCTGTCATGTTCATCACCAGGGCTTCCATTCCTTAACTTGCTGGATCTCAGTCACAATCTCTTGGAGACGTTCCCCAAGCATCTGCCTCCATCTGTTCAACAGCTCTACCTCACCAGCAACACCCTGACAGGCATGTCTGAGGCCAGCCTCCAAGGCTTTAATGGACTCCGCTATTTGCGCCTTAGCCATAACCAGCTGAAAAACGAGGGGCTGGCCTATGGTGCGTTCAACGTGACCTCTCTAGTGGAACTGGACCTCTCTTACAATCAGCTCACTGAAATACCAGTTGTTCCGACCACCCTTCAGTACCTCTATCTGGAGGTTAACCACATCAGAGGTGAGATGCAGACTGATTTCTCATGAAATATTCAGGCTTTGTCTCATGGGATGTTCTGTTCTCTTAGACATGACGTAATTTGTTGGCAGCTGTGGACCATTACACAGCTCCTTATAAATGAAGGAAAGGAAAATATTAGATTCAGGAGAATTATGTCATAACACTTTTAGGGGTCTTAAAGATAAATATAAAAAGATCAGATGACTTACTGAGTAAATGGTGAGCAAGGAATGTTTCTGCATCAGAAATAACAAGCAATTGTTGCTATAATCATCTGCAATTACAAATCATGCTGTGCTGTCAAGCACCTAAACATGCTCAGAGGAGATCACTTGAGGAACCAGTGAAAAGAACACTTGCCTCAGGCAATCAATGACCACTGCTGATCCACTGAGTAGCTCCTTTTCGTGCAGATTCTTGTCATTACAGGTCTAGAACAGAATAAGCTTGAACGTCCATGCAACCTGAGTTAAACAAAGCAACTTAAAAACAGTCAAAACTGCACACAATACGTCAGTCTTCCCTTCTGTAATCATTTTCATCCTTTGAGTCCCAAATGAATCAGAGCTCAGTGTAAAATTAGGGGGTGTCAGTAGAGGAGAAAATGAATCTGGCTATGTAAATCACAGGAGTACAAGCAGGCTCTTGCTGTTAGCTGGCTAGTTGACGTGGCTGGTTAGCTTTGAGAAACTCAAATTGGTTGTCATAACTCAGGAAACGGACAAAATGAATAACTACCAGCCTTAAATAAACTCTCTCATCAGAATCTCTATTTCAACAACTTAATAAACCATCTTCTGTTTTATTTTTTGGCCGTTAATTCAGTGAAATCAATTGAAAGGATGTTGTTTGATGTGATGACATAATTGGATATTTCATGAAATTTGTTGCATGTTTCATGGAGTGGAGACACTTGCGAATTGCAGGACGCTTTACATCATGCAACCCAAGTGCAATTTAGTTTCATGTAGGTTTCAAGAAACTGAAGTTGCATGAAAGTTTTACTGTGTAAGGCCAGTCTAAGGAGTTCAAGTTCAAAGTTCAAATTTATTAACCCCATTAAAAGGCTAACTAAAACTAAAAGTTTTATTACACACTTCTGTAATCTAAGAATAGCTCAACAGGTTTGCATTAAAGTCCCTGTAGTTGCTGAAAGCCTTAGTACACTGTAAACAATGAGAAGTCTGCTCAACTTAAAATGATGTAGCTATAGGTTACATGGCTTTTCTGGAGTTCACCCAGTTCAAAGTTCTTAGTTGAGTCAAAAAATTCTCCCAGCTACCGTTTTTAGGTCTGCATCTCAGTTAGATAAACAAAAGTGAACTTGCCTTATTTTACTCAATTTTCCTACTTGCTGGCACTCCTTCTATCACACAGTCCCATCAGTCTAGCAGCATTGTGTGATGGAAAGAGTCCTGGCTAGGGGGAAAGTTTAGTATAAAAACAGATTCACTTTATTTACCCAACTGAGATGCAGAACTAAAAAATTAAGAGAACTTTTGACTCAACTAAGAAGTTTGAGTTGTGTGAACTCTTGTGTCCTCAAGTTGAGTCAACTGAAGAAAAATCAGTTACTATATCATTTTAAGTTGAGCTTACCTATGCATGTATGTATTGATGTAATAAGCCTGTGGTTTAAGGGGTTAATAAACATCACAGCATGGCAAATAAGTGCATAAAATAAGATGTTTGTAGAATCAGGTGAAAACCTTAACTCAGTCAAATCCAGAATTACAGGTAATAACAACCAGTGCAAAGTAGAGCTTCCTAATAATATCCATGACACTAGTCTAAGTAATCCATCGGAGTTTACATAAAACTAGGAAAATACATTAATTGGTTGTGGATTTGTTAACCTTAACAATAACTATTCAAGCCTGTGAACTTTCTGAGGAAACGGCTCTGAGGTCAGGGTTGTAAGCTGGTGTAAATTTGCGCTGCTTGCGCCGTTTGACGACTGAGGTCTGTCGCAGTGTTTGCATGCTGGACAGCAGTGCCGAGGAGAAAAGCATGCCGTCAGAGGCATGAAATAATCCTTGGCATGGGAACGTCAACATTGGGACCCGAACAGACCATGAGAAAAATGACGGAAAAAGTGACATGGTTGGAGGGGAGAGAAAGGTCTCTCTCTGCAAAGTGTTTGTCGCATTTACGAGACATGGATGAGGAGCCCTGAGAGAGACATGAGGCGGCCAGGGAGGAAAAGTGGGTTAGCTAATGAAGTGGGAGGGACGAGGGGTGGTGGGAGAGAGATCTGGAAACATCTGTGAACACTCCAGGAGGAATCCAACAGTGCCAAAAGCACGCTCTGTTCCCTCCCCCCATCCTCTCTCCTCAGGCCCTTACCGCATTTAGTTATGAGAGCCACAGTGCTTATGATTCACTCGTTTTTGAATAGAGAGGAAAAAGACTGCAGCTTTTAATAGTGGTTTACCAGTTTATTTGAAGTGTGATTAATTCTGACCAATGCGCAAACCAGGACTGTTATTAGGAAAGTCATAAAAATGACCGTTTTACTTGGGTTTATGTGGACAGCTGTTCTAAGATGCTGCGGATTAGGCCTTCAGACAACAGCCTGTCAGGCCGACAACCTAAAAACAGACACAGGAAAAGAAATAGAGAGGGAACATTCTGACCTGCCCCTTTGAGAAGAGGGAATGTTTGGATCTAGAAGCAAAAGGAAAGAATGTCTGCCTGTTTTGCACAAAGATTTCAGCAGACGTGATACGCAATGCATGCGGGCAATAATAAGACAAAACATAGATTGACTAGACATTCACACGCACATATTCAATGTCTGACTCTTAGACAGTCTTTTCATTATAACAGACCTCCTCTTGCACTGTCCAAAACCACTTGGGCTCTTGCAGTTGTGGTTCAAGTCCATCCTTGCTGGAATAAGGCTCTTTTCATTCCCTGTAGTATAACTGACACCAGGTGCCAGTACACCTGCAACCCATTTGACTTAGTCTGGAGAATCAGCTTCTGTATGAGTAGGATACTTCGGCACTGGTGCCAATAAGAAGATGACATCTTCAAAAATGTCTAATATAGCAGTTTTTCTTGCTAAAATAACACGAAAAATTGCTACAGATGGCAAACACAGTGCTCTGTGCAGTTTAATGTTTTCCCCACACCTGCAAAGTTGAAGAAATTGTTACAGTGTTGATCTATGTCTAGTTAAACATTGTAGGAATTACGGACAACCGTATTTTTCTATACTTTGCTGTATTGCCAGTGTCTCAAACTGTACCATCTGCTCCTCACTGGGGCAGTGTTTGCACTAGGCAAAAGTGGCAGTGGCCTGGGGCCCCCATGAACCAAGGGCCCCATGAAAATACAGTTTAGATATATAACCTGTACATGTTGATGCAAAATAACCTATTATGAAATATATATATATATATACACACACACACACACACACACACACACACATCATAAAAACTGACTATTTTCAGTACTTTTAATATAACCTCACCTTCTAGTCATGGTTATAATGGGTCACGTGATCTCCCAGAAACTTCTGGGAAATGGAGTCTTTATGGACGTCAGAGCCAGGAGGATGTGTAACAAAGACACACTGGTATTAACAAGGCAATTAAGCCATAATGTACATGGAAAGGAGCTCCTTTAGTCTGAATTTCTGGGAATTGAGAGGGAAAATAAAGTTATACAAGTTAAGGAAAGAAATGCAAAAAGAGGGAGGAGAGTAAAACATTTGTAGCTTCACTCCAAAGCTGTTTTTTCAGACAGAACAGAGTGCTGCGCATTCTTAAAACAAGCTAAATGGATAATATAGTGAGATAATTTCACTAATCAAAATTACTAAAATAAAAAAATAGTTAAACAATCTTATGATATTCTCTCCCCAGACTATATGCATCCGTATATGCAAACTAAGCTGCAAAAAACAGACTGTTTTGAAGTGATTACAAAAATCTCAAGCAAAAACAACACATTTACATACATCTGCATATTCGGCATACATCAGTTCAGCCCCACCCATTTGTTTTGCTTCAGCACTTCTGTGCACTTGCTGAATTTAACATATTTTTTTCTTTTCTTTTTTTTTTTAAATAAAAACCATAAAATGTGCAAAAGGTATGGCACATTATTTATTTTATGTTTATTTTTTTCCAATGATAAACTCAGCAAATAAATAGAAACTGACCACAAAATTTGCATAAAAAAGTCACATTTAGGTTTGTTCACTGTAGAGGATGTGTTAACTTATTTTCACTTAGAAAATCAACAAAACATCTGATTAAACTTTTGCATATGATTGTATGTCAGTCTTAAAGGCACAGCAACAGCCTTTTTGATTCTAAAGAACAAGGATATATTGGCATGTACTGATGTAGGTAAGACTGTTTTTTTTGTATATAATACCACATAAATGATATAAATGGCCTCAGGGACCAAAAAATACAAGAGAAATGTAGGATATGGGATCTTAATTTCAACACTTTAGCAGTCAATTCAACAATGAGGATGTTACTGGGATTACAAAAGCTTTATAGAGCTCTATCAATTGTATGTGTATTGCTAAATAGCAGCAGAGAATCTGTAGCGCCCAGCAGAGAAACTGTGTGAACACCTTTTGTCCTTTCTTCCAGAATTTAACGTGAGCAGTTTCTGCAGAACGGTGGGTCCAACATCATATTCACGCATTAAGACACTGCGGCTGGATGGCAACAAGATGGCACATCATCAACTGCCTCCTGACTGGCCATTCTGTCTCAGAGTCCTTCACAACATTTACATCTGACCTGTTCCCTAAATATCTACCTTTTTTAATGGCTTTTCTTAGTGCAGCATAATCACTTTACTATAATCGCTGTTGTATGTAAGTCTCAAAACTATATACCTGATATTTCTAGAATGCATGGAATTAGTTTGAACTCAAGACTGTATTCAAATGTCTCAATGTCTCAGATGGTTCTTATTACTCTTTACTCTGTAAAAAAATTTAAGCCAGTTTAAAGTATTTTTCCTCAGCTTAGTTTAGTCAAAATTGCTTATATTTTTTGTTGTATTTTTACTCAGCTGCTCCCCTCAGTGTAGTCATTGCCAGTTCCCCCTGCAGGCTACAGCTTCTCCCCTTGTGCAGTGCCCTCTGCTTTGGGGCGGGGCTTCCTTCTGCTCACTGTCGATCGCCGTTCCTAAGTCATTTTTGTTATGGAAATAAAGGAACCGTATTAAACAAATCTGGGTTCTTCTTTATATTAATGCAACACAGATGCTTACAATGACAATAAAACACAGACTTATGCTTTCAGAATGTATCGGTCGTCCACATGTCGTCCAATTTAGCTCAATCAATTCCACTAGCAAGCTAGCTACCTTAGCATGGAAGCTTTGTATGGTTTAAATTTGCCTTCCTGCTCACATGATGTAAACTTCATCCAATCTTCCATTCAAATCATCACTCTCTATCTATATAAAAAGTTATTTCCTTTATTTTGTTAAACCGCTCCCCCCATGGATTCAAACCATCACGGATTCAAAGAAGAGAAAAAGAGCCGGTGTTGCCAGCGGTGGATCTAGAAAACTTTATCAGGGGTGGCAAAGGAGTGGCAGAGAGTTTCAACAGGGTGGTGACATGAATGTGAGAGCAGGGCAAGCAGATTTCATCGAGGACTCTGGCCACCCCGGTCACCCCTTTGAAACTTAGTGTTCTGCATAAATTTCACCTAAAACTTCATCAGATTTTCACACAAGTCCTGATAGTAGATAAAGAGAACCAAATTAAACAAATGAGACAAAAAATAACCCGGTCATTTATTTATTGAGGAAAATGATCCAATATCACATATCTGTGAGTGGCAAAAATATGTGAACCTTTGCTTTCAGTACCTGGTGTGACCCCTTTGTGTTGCAATAACTGCAGCTAAACGTTTCAGATAACTGTTGCTTAGTCAGCTTGGTGGAATTTTAGCCCATTTTAGGGGGAATTTTGCTGTAAAGTTGAAATCTGCTGAAGTTTTTCACCGTCATTCACCAAGTGATGTGGCAGATCTTACCATTGAAAAGAACTGCATGCAGCGAGGTGAAGTTGCAAGTGGATGCATACCATCAGACAGTTGTGCCACTCAAGAACTACAAAATTGCTTAAATTTCTTTATCAAAGAAAAACTCAGCAGTGTGACCTGTGCTTTAATAGTTCCTCATGCTCAAACAGACAGCACTGACTGTGCTTAGAGAAAGAGATTTACCTGTGCAACTTAACTTCAGCAAAGTGTTAAAAATATTTTTATACCTTTTCATTGTTTCTTTCTGTAATTTCATGGTTTCAGTGTGATGCTAGATTATCACGAGACAGGAGACTATGAGCTGAAATCCTGGTGATGCTTCAGCCTTCTGTGGTCACAAGTCTGAGAGGAGGAAGCCCTCTCCCCAGAGCAATCAGGCTAGGGGTGCTGTGTGATTAGTTAGATGGATGGATGGATGGATGGATGGATGGATGGATGGATAGATGGATGGATGGATGGATGGATGGACGGACGGACAGATAGATGGCTTTGACCAAATTGGAGGAGGAACTGTGTAGAAATCCAACAACACTCAAGCAACTTTAGCTCATACAGTGGCAAGCACGTAACGTTTTTTTTCTGAGTAAGCTCAACTTCAATTGGATTTTGTAGATCTAAGGAAGACACAGCACTAAAAACTATAAGTTAGGTAAACGTTTGACTAAACCAACTGAGAACAGTCCACAAACCAAAAATATCCTGTGGGCAGCATCCTGTGACCAAGATTTAGGACTAGAGGATGACCAACAAGCTAAGAGCGTCAAATAGAGTGGATAGTGAGAGGACACAGTGCTTAAGAACTCCAGCAGCACTGCTGTGTTTGATCCAGTCATACCAGCGCAACACAAGAAAGTGGTTTCAATGTTATGGCTGATCAGTGAATATATAGATGGTTATTGTGTTTTAGAACATTTTGTCTGAAATATGAAGAGTATTTCTATGTCTCTGTGCAGAATAAATCAGAATTAAAACAAACAAGCTGCTTTTCTTAAACAGGGAGGTGTGATAAACTTTTCCCTTCTAAAGTGTTGAGAACTGTCCAAGTGAGAAACCAAGTTTCTCTTAAAAGGGTGTTCACAAAAAAGCAAAAGGGAATTGCAGTTTCAGAGCGCATCTGAGCTCTGTCTTTTGGACCAAAAATCTTTGTGCTAAAAGAAATCCTACTAAAAGCCACCAGGAGAGAATTTCCCTCCATTGGTGCAGTGCTGAGACTGAAGCACTGTAAAGAATCTACCAGTTCATCTTAATGCCCTAAGGAATTGTCTCAGATTGTCTTCAGATCTCGATTCAATGCATTTAGGTAGCTGCTTACCATTCCAGTCCCTTGCCAGTGCTTTAATCTACAGGAATTGCCTGTGTCCTTGGCAAAAAAGTAGTTTACTCTCCTCTTAGAAAACCTCTGATAGGTTCTGGACCCAAAAAAACATTCCACTGCAGTGACACAAACCCTTTAATCACTGGCAAAACCGATTGGCTGTTAGCACCATGGAAACATTGTTTTCATCCTTGAATCACATTTCCAGAAAGAGAGTGAGTGAAAGCAGGTCCCTGGACTCCACTGGAATTAATAGACCAGCTGAGAATCCAGTAAAATAGCTGTTATCATTCTTTCTCCACCATTTTGTAATAGTGAGTAACCATGAAAATGTTATGAGATATAATGAGGACTGCTGCCCATCTTCATATTACCTGTTCTGTTTTGATAGGTTTTATTAGAGGTTGCATAAGGTAGTCGGTCACAGTGGTCCTTTCATTGCAGAGTAAGATAATAAGGCAGTTATTTTGGGTTCATATGGGGTGCAGAGGAAACCTGTTTCTCAGATAATCTTTAAAGTAAGGCCCAAATGGTAGCAAGGTCAGAGCGACAGACTGCAGACATAGGCCTAATTCACACTTGGCCTTAACATGTGTCCTGGGCGATCCGATCAGGTCATTCAAGACGGATGTTAATACCAAATGTGAACAGGGCCACAGTAAGTGTCTCTTTACCCATTTAATCTTACCTTTGACTAGAATTTCATTTTGGATTTGTAAAGGTCTAAAAGACTTGTTACCGAATGGCAAACTATACACTAAACAAAAGATTGTCTTGATTTATTATGAACATTTTTAAAATGTAGGCACCATATATTGTCACATGACTAGAGCCATAAACTTCATCTAACACCAACTATGCACCTGAGAGCTCCTGCATGAAAGCTGTACAAAAGAAATTAAAACCATCATTTCAGTTCCAGATGGGAGAATACACTTGCTGTATCTGTCTAGATACCACAGAGAAAAAAATCTGTTTGGATAATTTTCTGTTAGGTGTTTAAAGAATTTAGTTAAATTTTTTTTTCCCAACTAAAACATAACGATGAAATAATAGTAGTACTATGATACTTTCAAACGATGATAATTAAATCAAATAAAAATTAAAAGCTAAAACCTTGAAAACTAATAATTACAGACATGTATTATTTTATTTCACAGAAACCATTAGGCCTTTTCTGAAGCCCTGGAAGGCCATGAGAGTTCCCCACTGAGTAACATAATACTTAATAATCATTTAAACAGGTTGTAGATAATCGCTAAGTAGTCATTCATAATGTTTATGAATTACACGCTGCAGAGCTCAGTTACACAGAGATTAATAACTGTTCATGACATTGATTTATCAGTCTTTAACAGAGCTCAGTAACACTGAGATTAACAACTGTTCATCACATTGATTTATTGGTCTACTCAGGCTTTAGCAGGGGCCATAAATTAAGGTCTAATTTGTCTATGGAGCTTGTTTGCTATATGCCATAGTTAATAGTTAAACACAATTGATGGTGTTTCTTTTGAATATTGTGTTTTTTTTTGTTTTGTTTTTATGGTTTAGCAGGTAAGTATTCTAAAAATATTTTCCTAAAAATACGAAAAGTAACTGTATTCTGAATACTGCGTTTACAAAATGTAATTTGAAATGAAAACAGATACTAAATGTCTGTATTCTGAATACATATTCAGATGAAAATTCATTGTGTTTCATTAACCTTGCTTCACTATTGTTTACTGGCAAAATACATACATACTTGTGACCAATAATAAACTTCAGTTTTCTCCAAGTTCTCCAAGTCATTTTTTCCAAAGGCATACAGTCTGTGTCATGAGTCTGGCCAAGCAGTAAAATTCATGTACTCACCTAACTAGGAAAAACTGGTTTAAATGAGGTGTGTGTAGAAAGAGTGAAGGATCAATTTGCTTTTAGTCTATGTCAATCTTTCCTGAGTTCATCAGCATTCACTTCCTAATCATTCATGAGTGGCAGGGAGAGCTGGAGCAGAAGTAAGCCTAATGGATGTTTTGATCAGAAGCTTTTCTCTCTTCTCCCTCGCAAAAGTACAAGAGCTCTGCAAGCAAGGCCTGAGTGGACCAGGGAGGTGAACATGCTCAGATCGTTCTGGAAGGGAGCTCATTCTTTCCAGCCCTGTCTTATGCAGTACACGGAACAGAGTGTGATCCCATAAACAAGGCACTGACACTTCTCATAAACGCTTGTCATACTTTAGCCAAAGAAAGTGATGAAGCTTCAGTTCAGAAGTCGGCTCAGTTATGCTAATCTTGAATGCACAGTGATTGAGCCACATAATTCAGATGGTTTCAGCCCACTCCTCTCTAAAAAAGCCTGGGAAAAAACCTACCCATATATGTCTCATACTCTCAGTTTATTGGGGCATTTGTTGTAGCTGTCTCGGTTCCCATGCAGGCTCTTGGTGAACTT